AAAACTAGAAATGTCTAATTAATGTTTAACAGAAAAGGTAACAATTCTTAAATCTCACCATCATGATTGCTCTTCACTCGATGGAAGTCTACTAAAATTCCCCAAGTAATTGGGTCCTCAATTGAGAATGACGGAGACTTTCCTTCATCAGTGCATTTTATACACGATACCCTGCCATATTTCATATGGGGTATGCAATACTTTGGTGACGTTACAATATCGCGAACCTCCTTCTTCAAACTTTTATATTGCTGAATCAAATTGTAATGATTCTTCAAACTATCCTCTTCTTCAATTTTCATTGATGTTGAAAGGATAAACATGCCTTGAATATCCAGTTCATGTATCTGGTATGAATAGTATTTAATAATGTATCTAAGAGAATGGGATTCATGTATACCAGTTAATTAGGAAAGAACCAGTGTTTGTGATTTATCTATAAATAACTTTGTAAGTTCTTATTTTCAATGAAGTAAATACAAAGAAATAGAGTCTCCAAACTCTCCTCTCTTCCATTGTAGAATCCTCATAAGTCTAGTTATATCCAACAAAGTGGTATCAAAGCTCCTTATCGAAATGGCAAGTGGGAATCTAGTTTCATTGCAGGTTCCAAAATTCTCAAAAGAAAAGTTTGACAATTGGTGCATCCGAATGAAGGCCATACTCGGTGCACATGATGTGTGGAAAATTGTTGAGAATGGATATGATGCTCCTAAAGACGTGAGTGCTCTTACACAAGCACAAAAGGATCAATTTAATAGCATCAAGAAAAAGGATCAAAAGGCCGTTTCTCTCATTCACCAAGCATTGGATGAGGTTACCTTTGAGAAGGTTTCTAATGCCACCACAGCAAAGGAGTTGTGGGAGAAGCTTCAAGCTGCCTGTAAAGGAAAAGAAAAGGCAAAGAAAGTTCGCCTCCAAAGTTTGAGAGGTGAATTTGAAGCTGTCCAAATGAATGAGACAGAAAAGGTGTCAGATTATATTTCAAGGGTCATGGGGATTGCCAACCAGATGAGAAGGCTTGATGAAGAGGTGACTGATTTAAGGATAATTGAAAAAATTCTTAGATCAGTTATGGAGAATTTTGATTATGTGGTGACGGCCATTGATGAATCAAAGGACTTGGAAGACATGACTGTTGAAGAGTTAAGTGGTTCACTTGAAGCACATGAGGAGAAGCTCAATAGAAGAAAGAAAGAGCCTGTGGAGCAGGTTCTACAGTCAAGACTTTCTCTGGGTGATAAAGAACAAAAGGGAGGCACAAGTCAAGGAGGACGAGGTCGAGGTCGAGGCCGTGGACGCAGTCGTGGTCGAGGACGTGGAAGAGGAGGAAGAAGTGTCCAGAACACTAATCAAAGCAGAGATGAAAATTTTCAGTTCTCCTTTTTGAGAGGCCGTGGCAGAGGAGGATCAAGGCCATATCAGAAGAGGTATGACAAATCCGAAATTCAATGCTACACTTGTCATAAGTTTGGGCATTATTCATGAGAATGCAGATTTGGCAACAATGTGAAAGCCAATTTCTCTCAAGACAAAGATAAAGAAGTTAATGAAGAGGTGGAGCCAACTCTCTTGTTGGCCTGCAAAGATATGAAGAATGAGGGAAAGCACTCTTGGTACCTTGATACTGGAGCAAGCAACCACATGTGTGGAAACAAAGAATTATTTGTGGAGCTTGATGAGAAAGTTGGCGGCAACATCACCTTTGGAGACTCCTCCAAAATACCAGTGAGGGGTAAAGGTAAAATTCTGATACGCATGAAGGACGAAAATCATCAATTCATCTCAAATGTTTATTATGCACCTGACATGAAGAGTAATATTTTGAGTGTGGGCCAACTGTTAGAAAGAGGATATGCTGTTTTCACAAAAGGTTGCAGTTTGTACTTGAAAGATTCTGCAGGAAGGTTGATTGCCAAAGTCCCAATGTCAAAAAATCGTATGTTTGCTATGAACATACATACAGATGTGGCTAAATGCTTAACATCTTGTTATAAAGATTCTTCATGGCTGTGGCACTTGAGATTTGGGCATATGAACTTTGGAGGACTTAAGGCTATGGCTAGCAAAAGAATGGTGAAAGGCTTGCCCTCGGTGAATCAACCTGATCAACTTTGTGAAGGTTATCTTCTTGGTAAACAATCAAGAAAGAGCTTCCCAAAACAGTCTCAATCAAGAGCAACGAGGCCACTACAGCTAGTTCACACTGATGTCTGTGGGCCGATCACCCCATGTTCTTTCGGTAAGAACAAATACTTTCTTTTGTTCATTGATGATTATAGTAGAAAAACATGGGTATATTTTCTTAAAGAAAAATCAGAAGTGTTCAAGTGTTTCCAGAATTTTAAAGCACTTGTGGAGAAGGAAAGTGGCTTTAAAATCCAGGCATTGAGATCTGACAGAGGAGGTGAATTCACTTCTAAAGAATTTCAAGAGTTCTGTGCTGCCAATGGAGTTCGCCATTTTCTTACTGCTCCAGGATCGCCACAACAAAACAGAGTGGTGGAAAGGAAAAACAGAACCATTCTGAATATGGCAAGAAGTATGATGAAGACCAAGAAGATGCCAAGAGAGTTCTGGGCTGAAGCTGTTGAGTGCGCAGTCTACTTGTTGAACCGCTGCACAACAAAAGCAGTTGAAAATAAAACTCCAATTGAATTATGGAGTGGAAGAAAGCCCTCAGTCCATCACCTGAAGGTGTTTGGAAGCATTGCATTTGCCCATGTTCATGATGGAAAGCGCACCAAGCTTGATGACAAGTGCAAGAAGTATGTGTTTGTTGGTTATGACTATAGAACAAAAGGATACAGGCTTTATGATCCAGAAGGTGGCAAAGCAGTCATCAGTAGAGATGTGGATTTTGATGAAGAAGCCATGTGGGATTGGAAATCTCAAGAAGAGAATTATGAATTTCTTCCGTCTTTTGCAGAAGAAGATGATGAAGAAGAAAGGC